AAACAAAAAATCAAAATTTTAAAAAAACCAAATAATTTTTGATCAGTTATTTTTTATTGTACTTTTTGATTGCATTTGAAAGGCATTGAAATTTTCTATTGCTCTAATAAATGGAAACATGATCAGTCTCAAAATCTATTAGAAAATGCTTAGAAAAAGGCGTAAAAATTGAGGGATACAATAGAAGAAAAGCTGTTAAGATGATGGGAAAAAATGTGTTATTAAATCAAAAAATATACGCATGCATATTTTCTTGACAATAATAGTTTAAATCAATTATTTTTTTTTTCTATTCTTAAATTAATTATGGAATATATCAGTGTATTTCTGGCTCAACAATAAAAGCAAACTGGAAAAGCACTATGCTCATTAAAGCTTTCTAATCACAAGTCTATTTTTTATGTCTACGTAGTTAGTGTGGGTTTTGCATGATGCCACTTATAACTGTGAAGAACAGAACAAAAACAACATAAAAGGGGAGCTGAGGAAAAACAGGAAATTTTGTCTTTAATTAACCACAACATTTTAATGGTCTTTGTTGACGCTGAGGACAATAGTGGTGACGATGATGAAGTTATATTTTGAATACAGCTCACATAGCACATACATTTATCCTTTCATCTTTTTTTTAGCTTTTTTTTAAAACTTTGTTTAAAAATTGAGAATAAATTAACAGAAGAAAAGATGAGAGCTTTTCTCAGAATAAAATGTTGAATTAGAAACTATAATAAGCAGTGAGATCAAAATGTTCCATTAGATACAGTAAATAAATTACTTGAAACTTAATCTAATCAGACGATAGGTCAGTAGTAATTGGCGGAATACAGTTATAATGAAGTTTAATCAAAAATTCAACATCTTTTTTATGTGCTAAAGTTCTTCAGCTGTCAGCAATGACCTAAACATCGACAATGATTACTAATGGTTACACTGAGAAGAAGGTTCCACCTGTAGTTTTAATGATAAATCAGCGAACATCAAAAAATCAGAAAAATAACGATGTTAAGTAAACCGGTTATGCTGTCTCCAGTAATAATTTTAAAAAACCAAATTGTTTCTTCTTTTCTTTCACCAGTTAACGGTTTTAACCATTTTAAGATTTATATATGTATATTTAACAACTTGTTGAAAAATTTTTTTACAATAACTGTAGAAAAAATTGACCAAAAAATTATATAGGTAGAAGGTTGTTGAAGTGTAAAAAGTATTTTTTTTATTGACCTTTCCTTTTCTACTTTTGTCTTCTATCTCTCCTTGCTAAAACTTTGTCAGTGCTGTAAATTGTATAATACTATATGACTGCTTTTAAATCAAATTTTAATTAGCAAAGATAATTGTTGTTTTGATAATCGGTTTGAAACATTTTGATTTTTTGTTTGAAGAGAAAAGAAAAAGTTTTTTTTTCTTTTTAAGCATTTCATTTTCTAAGATATCTGAGGAAAAAAAAAGGGTGAAATTTTCCGGTCTACTATCTTTTCTACCTTTTATTTTCCTGCATATGCTATTCCTCTTTCCTCCTTAGTCTCATTCAGCTTTGCACTGTTTTTGCTATGGTTTGTCAGCACAACAGATTTGAGGTGTTAAATGTTTCTGTTTGAAACAAAAAAAAATTTACAAAAACTTTTTTTTTGAAGAAACTGTTTTTTTTTTTTTAGATGGAAGGAGAAAAGGAAAGTGGGAAAGTGGTAGAGTAGAAATTATCTAAAGATTACTTTGACTGTTAGAAATGGTTGAAAATGAATAACAATAAAAAACGTTTTGTCTAAAGTAAAAGTTGGAACCAAAAAAGATTAGTTGATTTATGGAAATAACTTTTTGTCTATATCTTTGAAGTTTTCAGAAGCATTTTCAGTAGCGGTGCAGTAAGTTTGAAGAAAAATGATTAGTATACAGTTGGTTGCTGAAAACATCGAAAAAAAAAAAAAAAGAATTTTGATACGTTTTTAATACAATTAGCAATTTACAGAAAAGAACCTTTATTTCAAATTTTGTTCATCGTTGTTTTTTTCTCCTTACATACAAATACAGCAACACAAAATTTGACGCTGACTTTGATTTTTATAGTCATCACTTACTTTTTTATCATCAAAGAATATTTAATCTGTTATCGTTGCTTCTTTTTTTTTTTTTGGTTAACAGCAATAAAATAAAGTCTAATTTTATTATAGAATATATAAAGATAAAAAAAAAAAAAGAGTGGACAAATAAAATGGTTGTTTTGCAGAAGAAAACTTTTTATAATCGTCGGCTAATTCTGTATTTACAAATTGCTCGAAAAATGCAACTGCATAAAGTGTTGGTTACTGTTTTGCTATTATTTATTGGCTATAATATCATCGAAGTATTGGGTAGGGAATCGGTCAGTAATACTGCAGAAAATCCGTTAATTACTGTTGAAGAACTGAAACAGCTGATGAAAGTACGTTTACTTTTCAAAACTTATTATATTCAAAAAATTATTGCATTATCAGTAAAGCCAATATTAATTGAGTAAATTCTAAAAACGATAAAATTATTCTGATTAAAATAAGTTTAAATAATTGAATTCTCTTTTTTTTTCTCTGTGTTATATAATATAATTATGGGCAAAAAAAGAACACTGATAATTTTATTGAACAAATAAAATAGTCAATAGTGACTGTATAAATTGGTTATAATTTTAGCTGTATAAAACTAAAAAGAGGAGGAAAAAGATCGAAATTTGCATTTATCAGTACAAATCAGTTTACTTTATTGATAAAACAGAACTACAAAAAAAAATGTAATTATTTTCTGGTTTCTTATTATTTTTTTCTTTTTTAGACAACACCAGTGAAGCTAATTGATGCAACTTATTCTGGAAAACCGTTACCAGCAGCATTGCAACGGACAAATACTTATGGACAGTTTGATACACTCGAAAAGATGCTTGTTAGTAAGAAAAATAAGAAAAAAATGATTTTTTTAGTTTTGTATCATTATTTTGTTCCTCCATTTTTGATGGATTGCTTAAAATTATTGCCAAAAATGACAGTGCTTAAGCTATATTAACATAAAATTTGCCCGACTCGGCATTGATATTGACTGTCAGCTCATTTTCTGGAAGCAATTTTGGAAAGCAATTTTTTTTTTCGGATATGTCAAATGCTTACTGTTATCTGTTACCAAAGTTAGACTAACTGATTTATAGACTGAAGACGATTATAAAAGGGAGCATATTCCTGGTGCAGTTCCAGTCAGCTTAGATGTTGCTCTATTTCATAGCCAGTCAGTATCCATCTTAATTAAATAATCTAATATCTGGATAACAATTATAGCACTTTTTATTCCAAAATATTAGCATATTTTAGTAAATGGCCAGTTTACGAATGTTTCTGTACGGTGATCAATAGAACAGTTTAGGCACTTCAATACTTGAATTTTGTTAATTTATACAATTTATACAGTGTACTAAAATGTACTTTTTTACAGGTATAAAAGATTTGAATTATATCCGCCAGAAATTTTTGAAAAATATCTTCGTAAACTTGGTATAAATAATGGTGATAGAGTTGTTGTTTATGGACGTGAACAATTTTCAGGAATGCTTTTTGCTGCACATATTTGGTGGTTATTGAAAGTAATTTATAACTGTTTATAGTTTAGAAGAACCAACAGAGATTTGTGTCTGTGTTTTAGCAGGTCATTCGTACAAACAGTAAGAATTCCTCAAGACATATGAGATTTTGATCTGCAAATTATATTTATTATATCAAGAAAAAAAAAGCATGTAACCAAGTTAACAAACAAGCAGATAAGTAGATAAATAAAAGTGTGACCTTTTATTGAGAACAATAAGTCTCCTATTTTCTATTTTTTGTTATTGCTAAAAAGAAAAAACCTTTTTTTGCATGTTTTTTTTTTTCAGTATTATGGTGTTAAAAATGCTCGAGTTTTAAATGGTGGTATTGAAGCATGGAAAAGAAACGGAAATCCGGTGACTAGTGAAATTGCTCCTGTTCAGGTATCATCAATGTTTTCTTTCAGAAACTGAATTATTATCTGTGGGTCAACAGTTTTAATATAGTTTATACAAACTGTGCAGCAGGATAAAGAATGCACTTCGTCTAAAGAATTGTTTACTAATATTACCTAACTAGTTTATGAATTAAACTCTGAAAAGGTAAAAAAAAAGTTTTTTCTTTTTTTTGTTTATTTTCAGACAGGGAATTTTACTGCAACTGTCAACCGAAAATATGTGATTACGTTTGAGGAATTGGAAGAACGTAATCCACGAACAGGTGCACTAATTGATCACCTAAATACGGTTACTTTATCTTATTATTTCTTTTTTCGATTCATCACATCAATATAATTATTTTTTTTGGCTGATCTTGTTTAGAAACAATTAAGCTAAACACTATTTGAAAGATAGCTTTTTACTTTAGCTAACAATAAATATCATCAAAGAAAGTTAAAACAAGTTTACCACTGTTTTTTTCACTCAACTACTGTTGCAGCTACCAAATACAGTGTTTTCTTTTGAATTTTGAATTTAAATCACAGAGTTTATTCAGACCTGTCTAATTGATATTTTTTCACTAATCAAGAAATTTTTTGCGGTAATATCAGTGCAAGCTTAGCTGCCGTTTAGTATTTAATTTTTCAGTTGTTCTTATTTAACTTATACAAAAACGGTAATCTTGCAACTTATAATTTATTCAAAAAAACAGTAGCTGCTGTTATGTGCTAATCTGATTTAAATTAAAGAAAAAAAGTTGTAAATTAACACCATTTGTTATTTCTTTTGGAAAGTTTATGTTTGGGTGATGTGAAGATGAATTGTAACGAATACAAAAATGTTTATGTTTAAAGGAAAACGTTTTTGACAGCAGACCACGAGAACAGTATTCTGGAGCGGTTAAAATGAACTATAATTCACCAGGTAAAAAACTTGTCTTACCAATGCATATTTTTGACTAATATTTAGCTTTCAGTTTACAACTGTAGAAATATATGAAAATATTTGAACGCATAATGGTTCAGCCTAAGCTTTCTGTAACATTTTTCAATAACCGACAGATATCTGAATTAGTATGGCAATAAAAAATTTTAATTGAAAAATTTTTCAGTTGAGCTGAAAGGATCGCATATTGAAGGAGCTAAAAATCTTCCTGCAGTTAATTTAGTTAACGAAAAAGGTATAAAGCCAGCATCAGAAATCAGGCATTGTGCGCATTCTTTTGTCGTTTCAATTTTTTCCCTCTACTCTGTAGCACTAAAAATTATCAAATCAGAAATTTTTTTGGATAAAAAGAAACTGTAGAATTAAATGTGCAACGAAATTGAACAAATTGAGTAATTTTAGTATTAGCTGAAGCTGGTTATATACCCGGCAAACCGGTGATAACCTACTGTAGCGTGGGAAATCAAGGATCACTTGATTTGTTGGCACTTCGTTCAGTTGGTATTGACAACATTAAACTGTATCAGGTATTACTGCAACTGCTGATAGTTGTTTTTTTTTTTTCTTCTGACTCGAAGCCATAGGTAAATGTTATAAATCTTGTTTAATGATTTTATCAGGACGATGTTGATTATCAGTTTACTAATCTCATTTCAGGGAGGTATGACAGAAATGGCCCTAAGAGACCCAAAAAGAATTTCTTAAAGTTTACGGCAGAATGAAAATGAAATTTCTGCAAAACGGTTAGGATGTGTCTGACAGTCAAATTCAACTGAATCTATTATATGCTAGAAAAAAGAAGGGAAACAGATTGTTTTGGTGGTTACTAAACTTAATAAGTATACAGAAAAAAAATTTTTTTGTCAACAGTTTTGCTCAGTATTCTGAAATATAATTTTTGTCAAAACAGTTTTCTAAATTGTTGCAAAAAGAAGGCAAATGTATACAGTGCTTGACTGAACTTATCTTTTTATGCTTACTAAATATCACTGGTGCTATCATGATTCTTATTTCTCACTTTGTATTATGATTAGTAACAGTTGCTTAAAGAAATAATTGAAATTATAAAGTTTGAAAATATTGCATTGTTTTCGGGTATAATAAAATGAATTAACAAATGTATCAATAATTAAACAATAAAATATGATATATCTGCATGACTAATCAGAACAGTGTACGGTGTATAAATGAATTTAGCGTTGCCATTTAGATGACGATAGTATTTTGATTAATAATGGTACTGTAGTGTTGGTATTTTGAAAACAAGTATTGTTGGATGTTAAATAGAATCTTCAGTTTACAAACGTCAACATAAAATTAATCATTTCTCCTAAATTTCCAAAAGAAAAAGAGAAGAAAATTGAAAGTAAAGTCAAAATTTGTCAACCTTGAAGGTTGTTACCTGGGCGAATACATTCTGCTTAGAAGCTAAAAATTGAGAACAGTATTGGGAAAGATTATACATTTGATGATGTTGCTGAGAGTAGAATAGCCTGAGAAGAACGAAGTGGTGGAAAACAAATTGAGCAGTAGTTTCTGAGAATGCCTAAAAGTGTTCATTCTGTCTTACCTGTTCTGCACTGTGTAAGCTAGTAAGAAACTAGACGATATAATAAATTGTTGGTGATAAAAGTAATTCATTTTTTTCTTTCTTTTTTTCTGTTTTCAAATTTCTCATTTCAAGTGTTTTCACTTTTGCTAAACAACCTACAATTTGTTTTCTTTACTGTCAACAGGATTTTATTATCAATCATATGAATAAAAATTTTTTTGTTAAAATTTAACTCACAACTGCATAGCATTTTCTGGACAATTTTAGTAGCAAACGATGATCAGTTGCTGATATTGTTTAGTTTGAAAATCTTTTGTACAGTACAAGTATTAGTCCCAGAGATCTGTTGCCAATAATAGTGTTTGTTTTAAAAAACCTCTTTTTTTCTAGAAATATTTGGTATCAATTTTTCATGTGTCAAATTTTTGACGCTACTTTCCTCACCTGTCGAAATTCAAAAAAGTTGTTTGCAGTTTTTATATGAGTTTTTATCAAAATGTTTGGTTTAACTTGAATAAAATTCTTTACTGGATAACATCAACGTTAAAAATGACTTTCTGTGCAAATGAAGAAATTATAAAAGGCAAAAGTTAGAGTGAGAAATGTGAAAGGTAATAGTAAAAACGAGTATATTTTTAACAAGGTGAATAAATGTAAGTTAAATACGTAAAAATAGCAAAAAACTTATTCAACAATGATGTCATTTTAGACTTATCAAACATTACTCAGAATATAGAGAATCTTACATCATTGTTCTAACAACAGAAATTGTGAATATGGAAAGCATTGACAATTTAATGTGCAAACTTACTTCTAAATCTAACTTAAGGTAATCTGCCAGATTTTTTTGGAGAACACCTGCGAAAAAAAGAGAGACGATAACTGCAATTCTTGCTTCAACAATTACTTCTCTGTAATGGATCTTGAAGCCTTCTCTCGAGAGGAAACGGAGATGGTGAAGGGTAACAAATGATACCAACAATTTCACAAAATGAACTATTGTGGTCAATCTGAACACAATAGTCTGACATCTTACAATTAGTGTTATAACTTCAGCTGGTTTTTCTTAATTTATCAGACTGAGAAATTCAATTTTTCTAAGCTAATAATTAGTCGCATTGCTCAATGCTTATGTATTTCAATAGAAAAAAAATTTTGTAATTTTGATCAGTAAATTGGTGAAAGAGAATTGATGCAAAAATTTTACTCAAATTTTTTGCAGGGATAACATTGAAACTGCGTCAGTTTATTGGCATCGCTGAATTTGAAATCTCAATTTTCACAGGGTTCAGAGGTAAGGTTCGAATAAGCAGTAGCAGCAACATCGGCCATTACAAAAGCGGTTTCTTCATATCCTTCCTTTAGCAGTTTACAAATTAGTAAACTGTTTATAAAACGTATTCATTATTTAAAAGATTACATTTTTGTTGCTTTTATAAATTATGTAACATACGGCATTAGCAGTTTTTTCTTTACATTTTTTTATCTCAAAATAGATTTTAATTCCTTCTACAGATATCTGTTATTTTTGCTTTTTTGTTTGTTAACATTATTTTTGCTCCAAATAAGGGTACATGAAATTGAAAATTACTTATTGTCATTCAATGGCTGAGTTGAAAACCTAATAGAAGCTTTTCTTTTGTAAAGTTTACTAAGGCATCAAATAATTCAAAATTTTGTAATTTAAATCAACAGTTTTGCAGTAGCATAAACTCGGTCTTCTATACTGTCATAAGTGATATATTCAAGCGGTTTGTCAGGGTTGAATATTTTTTCTCCCCCCTCATCAGTCAATGGTGACTAATGCACAAAGCATGTTTTCATTGTCAACTACACTGCAAACCATATAACAAAGTAAATGTGGAAAAAAAGTTAATTGCAGTTGCAAATTGTGGATAAACCGTTTTTTTTTTTTTTTTTGCAACAAATGCTTTCAGAGATATCCCATACTAAATAACAGAATTAACAGGAATTATAAACACTGAAAAGTTTTCTGCCATAACTTCTAAACTGTTTGCTAAAAAAAAAACTTATTTTTCTGTATAACACAAATTGTGCGTTGCAATTTTGTCAGATTCGTTAACAATTCGTTTCAAAAGAGATCAGATTTAGAGTAACAGCAGTTTTTTTTTATAAAATACTCCATCAGTTTTGTTCTGAAAAACCTCTTTAATATTTGTTGAAAACTGTGATCGGTTCTTCAAAATGGAAAACCAAACAAAAAAAAAAAAAAAAA